GTTTTTTTTTGTTTTTTTAAAGGAAGGGGAAGAGGGGAGCTTTGTTTCGAATGCAAATAATTAAATAATTCCCTATGTTTTATTTTTGTCTTGGGGGACATTTTTTTGATAAATATTTGAGGTATGAGGGTGTTTTATTTGTTTTATTTCTAATATGTTATATACAATGTGTGGTTGCACAAAAAACCCCTTTCTATCATAAAACACAATATGAGATATAGTTTATACTAAAAACTTACATGATTATAACATTTCAGGACAGCTGCCTAAACAGAACAATTCAACACGATTTTTTCCTCTTTTTTTTCACTGTAAAATTTCAGGAAAATGTACTAAAACATTTTGAATTCAGACAGACAAGTATTTATCCAACAGCAAGTGGTTTAATTGAAGTAGCTAGTTTTACAGGCAGCCATATGATGTGGGTTGAAGAGGAAGCAAATAAGTGATGTATTCTGTGCTTTACTTCCCTCTTTATTCATAGAATTATTACTGGAGCAGGTTCTTGTGTGTTGTAATTCACTATAACTCCTTTGCTGCTTAGGCAATAATGACAATTTATATCATGTACAAAGAGCTGAGCTGAGATAGTTTCTGCTCATGAAATTTTATGGAGCTTGAATTAGCTTAAAATTCAATGCATTCTTACAGTGCTATTGAAACTTTTCATAGTTACCTTTCACAAAAATTTCCAGAACCATCCCCCACCAAACTTACACACAAGGTAAAATTGTTTTCAGGATTATGGGAAATCCTTTGCTAGCATGTTAATCTTGTTAGTGAACAGTCAAATCTGTGCAATGTCAAAAAAAAGCTTGGAGAATGTGCCTGAACTGTTCTTCCAATTAAGTTTCCCACTTACTGGCTGGAAAATTTCTGTATTTTCCCTTGTAAAGCAAACTGGAACACCTAGACAGATTTTGACATTTAATGATCCATATTATTATTTACTATTCTTGAAAAGGTCTGGAATTAAAATTTTTAAAATACTGAATTAAAATAATTTACTTATCACTGTAATTTTCTGATACTACAATTTATTTACACAATAAATTAGAGTGTTTGCATAATGAAAGAATGTGATTGGCAAGGGTTAGTCAACAGATAAAACCATTTAATGACTGACTAATATGCAGGTGAACAACTGTAGCTAATTCAGCATATAATCACACTACATCTGCTTAGATGATAAACACTTTTAACACTTAAATTTTTTACAAAATTTGCTTTCAAATAGCATGTAACAAGTGATATGGAGAAACTCAGAATAGTCAAGGTTTTTTTTCTCAAGTCTGATTGCTTAGTATATTGCATTTTAAATTTTATTTTAAACATTCTTTAAAAGATGGTATGTTTAGAAAACTTTAGAATATTGTTCTAAACCTATTTTTTTAAACTTGTTTAAAAAACCCAAAGTGCCCATTTTCTAGAGCAAAATAAGAGACTAGTATATGCAGTATGAATAAGAAGTCCTAATTTGTGTCTACAGCTGCTGATTGCACTAAACCCCAGTTTGAAAAAAATGAAACACAGTTAAATACTGTTCAAAATGAACTTCAGCTTTCTACAATAAAGGCTGTAAGGTGCTGACTATTCAAAGACTGTAAGATACAGAGGACATTACCTTTGGAGGAAACACTTGAAGCCCTGCTGCTCTGGAGGAAGCTGCCTACACAGAAGTATCTGCAGGCTGAAATGTGATTCAATACTGTGCATCCTCACTCTTCTCTTCTTAGATGAAGGCCTTACTCCTTCTCTATAAAACCTTTAAGGCATGCCATGAAATGCAAAGTTATGTAACAAAAATCTCTTTACGTGAGACAGCAAAATCTCTTTATTTTCTCTCTTCATTTGGGAACAATAATAGTGTAGTTTTCCCCGCTCTACACATTCCATAAGCAGAAGGACTAAATCTCAGCCCTGCTGACGTATATTAAGGAGGAGTTCCTGTGCTCTCCTGTCCACAGCAAGAAAATTAGGATTAGGGATCAACCCCAATTAGAAGAGCAAATCCTAACTCTATAAATTATCAGGAGTTTGTTTCAAACATTTGAGTCTGCCCAAGAGATCATAACTGCTGGGAAAGTACAGATCTGAAAACGCAGCCCAGTGTTTTTCTTTGATGTGAATCTTATCATGATGACCTTTTCTATTCAGTCACACTCCCAAACTCATCACGATTTTTATGGAATTTCCTAACATCTTTGCATTATGCAGCTTTTATAGCATCACATACATGTCATCATTCATTAAAATATGGAAGCCAGCAAAAGGAGCCATAGTGTTGGATGCTGGTAACAGGCAGGCAATCTCAGCTGCTTTGCCATCATTATTTTCAGCTGCTCCTGAAAAAGTGAAGATTTTTTCCAAAGGCCCCTGTTTGTCACTGTTCTTCCCATCTTCTTGCTGGCTTTCTGCCTCAGTGATGGACTCTGGTTCTTCACATTCTAGCTTGGTTTGCAACACCACATGGTCATTTTTGTCTAGCCATTCCTAGAAAAATTAAAATGTTAACGTTGGCAGATATGAGTTATCTGTCAAAAGAAACCTGGTTGTACAGATAACCAATTTTCCTTTCGTAATTGGCATCTTTCCAGGATAAGCCACAGTGGAGAAGATGAAAAGGAAGTAATGTAAAGAAGCAGGACATAAAATAGAAGGATAGAAGAAAGACAGAATGGCAGGAAAGAAGACAGGATTCTAGAACTGTGTACAAACTCCTACTTATTCTTCAGACCACATAAAATACATTTTTGTACTTAATTAGAGCTCTTAAGGAACCTTGGATATGCAAAATATCTGTTGTTCCCTCTTTGATAGATTCATACTTTCTTTGACCCAAACCCAGACTTAATCTAAATTAAGACTAAGTTTAGATGAAGATTTAGGCAACATAGCATATCTGTATTAATGCTTCAGTACCACATGAATTTCTATATTTTTTATAAAAAGTTTTCAGCTTTTCACTGAAAAATTATTAGTGATTTTTGATATTGCATTGGGTTTGAAAATGTAAAAATTTAACCTGTTTCCCCTTCAGAGCAAACTTGCTAGCAATTAAGGTAAACACTAGTACAGCTAATACAGGAAACTACACCACATATGTGTTGTCAGGGACTCATAAGAAGCATTAAGAAAACGAAAGCAAAACCTGTAGTCTATTCATCTGATGGCCATTCCTTGTCTAAAGGCTTTGTGAACATGCACCTCTGGCTAAGAGAAGATGTTTCCTGCTGTGACTGACGCCTCCAAAGGTGTGAGTGCCATCACTGTGCCAGCACTCACACACTCAGCACTTCACAAACATAACAAGATCAGGTTGAAGTAAGCTCCCTGATATATCATGTGCAGGAAAGGATGCAAACACCACAATGCCATTTCAGTGGATATTGTGCCTCTCAACACCCTTAAATTCTTCTACAGCAGTTTCCATGTCTCTATAGCAAGTGTGTTTTCACAGTCCCAATGCAGCACTGCACTGATTTTATGAGCTCTGGCATTTGCTCTGTGGATCCTCTTGGTGATGCTGCACAAGGGGAAGGATCTGGGGGCTTTTATCTTGGGTCAGAGACTCCTTGTGGTAGTGTCAGTGCAGAGCAAGAATCAATAGCTATTTTTTGTGGAGTTTACAGCCCTGCTAAGAAGGTGATTTTTACCTGTAAGTTTCCATTATGATCATTGAAGAGATCAGTGAATAGGTATTTTGGGTCTGGTATAGCAGGCAGGACTGACATGTGAACCCTGAAAAAAAGAAAGAAAAATAAAAATCGATGCTTTGTTATAGCACAGTTATTCATACAAGAATCTCCTCCTGCACAGTTCTGTACCCACAAATACAATTTACATGACAGTACTCTGTCGTTGATTTCTTTTAAATGTGTTCTAAAGTCAAAAAGTAGTTATAACAGTCTGATAACATCATCAGGCTGAGAGAATTTTTTGATGAATTTTCAACCAGTCTAGCAAAATCCAGACTTTATACAAACTTCCAGCTAGTCAGCATGTGCCATTCTGCTCTATGCAGTAGTCAGAGCTTGCATTCTCTGGTTACTTTCCTCTAGACAGGGAAGATGGGTGTAGCAACCAGCTGAATTGGCTGACTTGGTGAACACAAACTTAAATATGAACTGTAGAAGTGCGGGAGAAAACACTCAGTTTATGAACTAAAAGGGTAATTAGAGTCACAAATACTTTCAACTCTGAAAATACGTCATTTTTGGCTTTTTTTTCCACCAAAAAAAATCCAAAATCAGGGTATTTGTGGATTTGCTTGTTGTTTGGTAGTTGTTTGGGGTTTTTAAAATTGTAAATTCTAAACATGAGCAGCATTATTCAAATGCCAATCTAAATATTGATATAGTCTTATTCAAGATAAATGCACTCAAGCTTACTTTGTCCTACTGCAAACACATTTTGATTGATTGATGAAGGATGCACAAAAGAATGTCCTTGCAGAAGAAGCTAGAAAAATTGGCTTCTCAGGATTTAACTAGATTTCTAAAAAAAGAGAAGAAATTAAGTGGAAGAGACAGAGTTTTATCCTAAAACATTGCCTTTTACCAGAATTGTTCCAGTTTTGCAAATTAAAGGCCTGGGTGTTTGGAAGGCCAGGATGTATTATTCCTCAAACAGTGATTAAGCTACTGACTTCTACATCTTCACCATGACTTCATTGATCTGATAAGAATTTTCATCACTAAAAGGCTTCATCCAGAATGATAGCTCTATTTTCGTGACATGGCTATTTAGTAGTAAGCAATAAAACTTTATTTACCTCTGCCATTTACACAGAAGAATCAGGAGGATAAGCATCATTAAGAGTACTGCCAGCAAACAACTTAAAACAATTACTGGTTTTGGCTGAGGAATTAAATCATCATCACATGAATCTAAGAACAATCACAAAAAGAATGTCAAACATTTTTTTTTTTGCTTTAACTGTAAATGTTTCTAATCATGCTAAAATGCTGACTTTTCTTTAAAAAGAAAAAAAAAGTTTTTAAGAACAAATAAGACAAGTTTAATTGTTCAATTGAGACTGAAAAGAAGATCTCTACTTCCCCAAACCTTGCAACAAAATAAAATTGTGCCTTTATTTATCTAAATTGACCTGGTACAGGACAACAGGGGGGTCTTATAGGCAGTGTAGATACATTATAAATGAATCAAGTGTTTCTACTCACTTTCATCACATGGCTTTTACAGCAATAAAGCAACTTTATGCTAAGATCTGTATTACATACACCTACTTACAATCACTAAAGCTGCAAAGGCAAGTTTACATGTAGTCCAAATGTCTTATCTCCCACCAAAAAAAATAAACAAATAATCCCAGCAAACAAAGAGCCATCAAATCACAAGAGTTGATACCCAGAAAGTAACTAGTGACAGGCTAACACCTTACATGAATTTGTGCATTTTTCTGCATTCTCAGTGTTCTTCCTGCAGCTTTTGTAATGCAACCTGAAATCTCGCCTCCTACCACTGGCCTTCTGGTCTCCACAAAAATACCAAAACCCTGGATAATTATTCACACAGGACCAACTCTCCAGCCTGTTCCACCTCCTTTCTCTATTTGGATGCCAGGAAGCCACAAGTAAAATTGTGACACCCTGCTAAGTGAGGTCTTCGGAGCTTATGAAATTTCTTGAAGCTTCATGGCTTCATCTTATTATAGATTTGGAGTCAATAACTTGTTAAAGTCTTGAAGAAAACTACTTGCCCCAGTAAAGGGGCTGTGCCAATGTCACTTCTGATCCAGGGGCACACAGAATGTCTCAACCACCTAGACTGTCTCCCCTGTGACGTCCGTCCTTGCAGGTACCTGCTGACAGCCTCTGGCCAAATGGTTCGGGTAAGACCGATAAATTGTCTGCTATCAGAGGTGCAGAGGAGGACATTTTCATTATTTCTTAAGGGCATTTTCCAGCCACACCTGAGGACATGCTTGCAGGCTCACAATTGGATAGTGGAAGAGTCTTATCTGTAGGTCAGCACTGTGGCCATGGGTGCACAGACTACCCCTGTGGTCCAGGATTTCATCCCAGCTTTATGTACATAGATTTTCTTCAAGTGAGCCCATTGCATTTTAGAGATCTTGTTACACCACAGGACTGAGGGCTTTGCCATTCTGATAAAGCCTAGTGGGTGGCATTTTGTGCTTAGGTAATATGTGTTGGTATGGTGTACAGTTTTTTTCCTACAGCAAATCTGAGGTTTGGTTTTGATAAGCAGTAGGTATACTGTTTACATTGACAATCTAATTAATGTCAGTCACCCTCAGTTAAATGCAACTGGCTGGTAGGAAAGCTTGGATACTGGCATTGATTTCATTTCCTTCAACCTCTTTTTCCTCATCCTCCTTGTTTCGATCAATGCAGCACCTTTGAGCGTCAGATTTCTGTGGCCTGTTGTCCTGTAGTTCAATTGGATATACTTGCAAAACAAGCTGCCTTCAAAAATTGGACATCAGGGATTTTCTTAGAGTTCATATTTGATGTCCAAATATCATACATGGGCACCCCTCTTCAACATCCACCCACTCAGAGCCCTCATGCATTACATCACTGTCACTGGGGCATCCTTGGTGCTATTGTACCACAAACAATAATGCTCTTAACTTTGCTCATTATGACATAAATTGGTAGCTTCAGGGGCCATCAGGAAAAAGGTGGACAGAGTTAAATTAAACAGGTGCAATTAAACATTCACATGAACTTTCTTCGAGAACACAAGACGGAGAACAATAGTGCAACATTCATTTGTTGCATGTTCTCAGCTTCTTTTGCAGCCAGCCCTTCTTTTTTTGCACCTAGACAATGTTTAGATAGATAGATAGATAGATGGATAGATAGATAGATAGATAGATAGATAGATAGATAGATAGATAGATAGATAGATATTAGCTGTTACCTAATAAGGTGCCATTCATCCAAAATGTTTCAGCTTCCCAGTCACTGCTGTATGTAACTACGTTGCAGTGTTTCAGCCTCTGCAGTCTGACCCGGAAAGAGTAGCACTTCCTTGGATCAAAGCCTTGGTCTCCAACACTGCAGCACTTAGAAGTTCTGGACTGAGAAAGAAAGTTTATCAGTGTTAATTGTTGTTTTCAAGATAGTGCTTCAAAATGCTGCACTCAGTCATGATCACAACTAGGACAAGGGATAGGTCAATGCAAAACCTCAGAACCAAATGTCAACTTCTCTGAGTTTTGAGGAATTCTGTTTCTTGATTGACTTTTGACTATTCATATCCATTCCTTGTTGTAGGGTATTGAGCTGAATGTCCTAACAATCATTGCATAGTGCACTATGTTACAGTTGCATATTTGCAATACAAAATGACAATTCAATTCATATGTTTGCAAATGGAAAGGTTTAAGTTAGTAAAATAATATTTGGAAATACTTTACACCTAATTTTAGAATAAATAAAAATCCTGTGTAATTTCTTTTTTATACTATTTCATTAGTTTTTCTTTTTTTTTCTCTCTCTCTCTTCTTTTCCCTAATCTGTTTTCTGTTTCTGTCTTTCCAAACTCCTCTATTCTGAATATATGCCTTTTCCTAAGATTGCCCTCAGCTCTTAGGGTGGGAACTGCCTTTAACTTGTAAATTAATTCTGGCATGGCAGAAACCCAGGATTCTAAAAATCTAGATGTTTTCTGCTAGAGCTGTATTTGAAAATACAGGAAGGGAGAAAATTTGGAAACAGCTGTATTTTATATTCCATGGATATGCTGCTTTCAACTCCTAGTGTTGATTAAAAATGTGATGTCCAACTGCTTTCAATGTCAATTGAAAATGTGACATACAACTCACTTGCCACTCTTTGTCAAACTTGCTTTTGTACTGAAGTTCAAGTCCCAAGCACAGTGCATTTCTCTCTGGTCTATTACATCTTACAGTAACAGTGTCCTCTTCCCAGAAGAAGGTCACATTTTCTGGTGGACTGGGCTTTACTGAGAAGAAGAGAAACAAATTTTGCTATAGCGTCCTAAAAAACACTTTACAGTTAAAATAAGTTTTTTCCTTCCTTGGCTCAATATTTCACTGAATAGTCAGAGAAGAAGGTGGACTTTCTTCTTGGAGGTTTTGCTTTTGCAGCTGACCTCCCTATTAAACATCAAAATGAAGCTTGAGTCAGGAACTTATTGTAGCTATTTAAGGAAAGGATTCCAGTCTCCTCACACTCCCTGCAATCCACACAAAGGAACAAGCTTCCTCATGGGAAATGAAGTGACAATTTCAGTACCATAAAACTTCCAAGACAGACTTTTGCAGCTGCTGGAGGCTATGTGGGATATGGTGGGGCATCTGCAAAAGCCCTGGGTTCCTACCTAAGCACAACCAAATCTGCCCCCACTGTTTCCAGGGGGCCTGAAGACAACTCCATGGTTTGACCTATGTAGCTGGTAAGTCTTCAGCAGTGGGAAATAACGGGGTGGAAAGAGTGCTACCTGCTTGTCAATCCTTCTAGTTGACTTTTTGTATATGAAAACTCTGCCTTGCTAATTTAAAGATTTCATTCTGATCCTTGATATTTGTCTTTTGTTACCTAAACCTTTTGAAATTAATTTTGTTATCAGTGGGTGTTTAATAGCGAAAATTTGAGGATTAGGCTGCAGTTTTCCATAATTAGGAGATACTGATAAAATTATGAGATATAAAACTATTCTCAAGGTTTGATGCCTTGACAGGTTTGTGTTTAATTCCCTTTGCTAAACAAATTATTAATAAATTTGGAATATATTTTTTTTCACATCATTCTCCATTATATAATCTTCTGTGTGATTTCTATTAGAAAAAAATCCCTCCACTTTGAATGATGTAGGTATATGAAATTCCAGAAGTTTTTGATAAACTAATCTCACACTAGATGTTAAATATGTATTTGGGGACAGGAAAGATCTAATAAAAATGGGAACATCATCTCTCTACTAGTAGTAAGATGTCCCTCTTACTCTGCCAGACTGTACAATAGCCACTCAGCTAATTTCTGTTGTCATGCAATGACGGTTTTGTGACAGCATCTTTGACAAGGAGCAGTTTGCTACCTCACATCGCATGAAAGATGGCAAAAGAATGAAGGTTGAAAGTATGAGAAAGATCACATAGTCAGCACTAAGACAAAAAACTTATTCATTTTCTTGATCAGCAGGCCTACACAAGACAAAGAACACCTAAATATATCAATATATATTTGGTATTTTCCTTTGGATTTTGAAATGGTATTTCGGGACAAGTCTGACTGCCCTGTTATCTCACTTAACTGCAGCTGCACACAAGCTTATGTAATTACCGGTGACAGCAAGGAACAAAAATCAGCATGAAATAACCGTAGTTTTGTTTTGATGTGCACATTAATACATTTTATATGCCATAGAACCAATTTCTTCTCAAACTAAGAGAACTGGAAAATCTGCCAAAGTAGTAATGATTTTTCATACTTACTGAAAAACTCAGCTTTAAATGTTTTAGAAAAGAGCTTTTCACTTCCATTGCTGCTCCTGATAGAAATGGTGAGGGTAGGTCCTTCTGTCTTAAAAAGACATCCAGAATTATAATCTTGATCCAATAAATAGGTGGTACATGGTTTCCAAACTTTGTGCTTGCCTTCATCAAATCTGTAAATGAAATAATATTGGTAAATGGAAAACTTAACAATTAACACAAGTTAATTAAATTTTTTTACTGTTCTTTCTCTTTTCATTTTTTCAAACGCTACAAGGAAAATCTGAGCATGGTTTTTCTCGAAGTGAAAAATTTCATAGTGGTGTGAGGGAATTCATCACCCAAACTTCACCAAATTTCCAGCCCTGGGTTTTGATGCAGTCTGAAATAATCAAGTTTCGTTCATGCTGTTGTTTTCTAAAAAGAGAATGACTTGCTCAAACACATGGTCTCATGATCCTGTTTCCAAGAATACACAGTGAAAAGTTCTTCCACAAATACAACCCAGAAAGAAAAGATAAGCACTATGACTATCTTTAACCAAAATATTATAATTCTGTTAGTCATTAATGATGTCAGTTAATAAGGAAAATATATACACTTATGTGGAAAAAACACTTTCAATGGTGTAATTAGCATTAGCATTTAACACAATGATGGAAGAGGGACAAATCTTTCATATCATGTCTGTTGTGACTGATTACTCACCAGGTTTATTGTTTTGTACACTTCTATAGGTTGTGAATACAAACAGGTTTCATACGGGATATTAACATATTTTAAAAGTATTTCTAGTTCACAGAAGACTCAAATGGACTTGGATATTTCATTCCCCCTAAGTAAATCCTGTAACAAGAGAGAAATAGGCACTGACAATACTCACGTGTAAAAAAATGACACATTCTCATTAGAAAAAACCCCTCTTGTTGGCCATGTGATCTGCATCTTCTCGTTATTGAAGTTGATTATTGTGATGTTGGTAGCATCTTTCCCACCTGCTAGGACATTTATGGAGAATATGATTTCAGGAGTGAGTATGAAAAGTGTCCCTCGACATTAGTAAGTAATCAGCATTTCTAAAATATGTATGCAATAGGCTCAGACAATCGTAAAATAAGGAGACATAAGAACATCCAAAATACAAGGAAATAGAGTAAAATAACTTAGAGAGATTGAAATTAGAATTTTAAAATAATGAAATGAAGGCATGCACAATGACACGAGAGAGAGACCAGGACCAAAAAGTGCAAACGGGGACACATTCATGCACTGCATAAAGCCCATACCTTGAGACAACTTTCCCCATAATACCTGCTGAGGAAAACTGTTTGGGATCTAAAAACACTAGAGGGAACATCTGTGTAAACTGTCAGATGTTTGCTGTAAGAACCAAGGAACTAACAGCAGAAATGCAGACCAGTCAAGACCCACAGGAACACGGAGATCAGCACAAGTAGATGTATTGCATATTTGATCTATGGCCCATTCCACCTTAAACACAAGCATGATCATTTAATGTCCTCTGACTGCACACAGATATTATTTCTTCTCTGATAATCTCCTTGTTACTGTTCTTGCTAGGGACATAGGATTCTACAATCAGATACTGAAGATAAGCGTGACATTGAAGAAATGAAGAAATTAAGAAGGAGGAAGGATTAGAAATCTATTCTGTATCAAAAAATACTTATTTTGCATTCTATAAGATGTGAAATTGTGTTTACTTGAATGAATAAAGAAGAAGAAAATGTATCATCAAGAAACCACTTGAAGGTAAAATTTTCAGACCTCTCTCCAGCTGTGAAGTGTCTACCACTAAGAATCTTTGCTGGAATATTCCTGTCTAGAAGGAGAATAGAGGATTTTAGCTTTGATTGCTGTGTACATTTTATGTTTCTCTGGACTTTCGAAGGGGTTTAGAATTTTAAAATGTTTCTTATGAGCTTTTCATCATATCCAGTCATTCTCATTATTTAATGGGAATCAAGAATAATTATTCTCATGGTTGCTATCTTATGCTCTGTAATCAACATGAAGAAAGTGAGAAATGGGTTCAAGTAAGCATTTTGCCTATTTTCATGCCTGTATATGTCTAGGTGCTTTATGATTACTCTAATTAGAGTTAGAATATTTTTATGGAGTTTTATTTGTGTTGTAACAAGTAGTTTTGTCAAAACCATTCAAGACAGTTAAGGCAAAAATCCAGAACATACTGGGTAGATGTACCTTCAGGTTTCTGCTGTGTGACTCATGGAGCTGTGGAAAAAAAAGATTCTGCTCTTATTCAAGAAAAGGATTTGAAACTGCCTCCTCCATCTCTTATCTAATGCCTGCAAACTTGTTTTGTATTGTTTTATCAAACAGAAAAACTTGTTTACATGCTAAGGCAAAACCAGAAGTGAAAAACCTTAAAAGGTGTAATAAAGTGGAGTTTATCTAGTTAGTTCTACCTCTGTTGCAAAAAAGTACCTAGGTAGCTCATTTTTTCATAAGATTTCAAGCTTTTTTTAAATTTCCTTCTGCACGTTTAAGAGATGACCTTGTCTTTTACTAAAGCCACTAAGAAATTTGCAGGCAAAGTGCCTAACAGTGGATTCTTAGTCTGTGATTGCACTAACACATTTTAAATTTTATGGACTACTTTAGCATAGTTGTGCTGTGCAGTATATAGTGTAACTGAAATCCTTTACTTCTTGGACTTAGACTTTCTATAAAAGTAGTTTAAGGTATATTTAATGTGTCTTAAGTGTATAATTACATTTTCTCCATATTTAAATAAAATTGACATAATTAAAAAAATATAAATGTTAGAATGGGGAATTTTGTACTATCCTGAGATAATTTTTATGACTATATCATGAATCCTTTCCATTCACTTTAGAAGCTGCGAGATATATACTTTTTACTTTGGGGTAATTAGTCTGATTTCCTGTATTTTAACTTTGAGAAAGAACTGCTAGTAATAACTAGCATATGAAACGCTTCAATTATGAAAATATGAACAGGAAGAATACTTGCTTTCTTAATTACATCTTCTCAAGGGTAATTAATTTCAAATTTAATTTCTGATGCTGTTTCTGTGTGTACAATAGTTGGTCACAATGACAGAAACCAAAATGCTCTATGTAGGGCATATTTTTGAATCTTCCACGAGACCAGGTTTCTCAGAGCCCCATCCAACCCGGCCTTGAACCATTCCAGGGGCGGGGCATCCACAACTTCTCTGTGCAACCTGTTCCAGTGGCTCACAGAGAACATTTTCCTAATATCTAACTGAAATGTATTCTCTTTCATTTCAAAGCCATCAGCCCTTGTCCTGTCACTACATGCCCCCTGTAGAAGTCTCTTTCCATCACAATTGATCTGAGATGTTCAGTCAATTTGGTCACAAGGGCTGTACAGATACAGAAAAAAAAGAAGGAAGAGGGAAAAAGGAGTTTATAACATAAATGCAGAACACCTAACAGAGGCAAGAAGAGGAAAAGTCTGTTTTAAATATCTCCGAAAGGATAAAACTGCAATGCTATGAGTTCTATCCCTCCAAGTTCAGAATGCTAAAATTATATTGTAATGCTTTTTTTTTCTGAATTGATTTTATCTTACTGGACGGTATAAACATATTTTTTCTCTTTTTTTGAAAATTATATTTCTGAGGAAATTGTTATAATTAAGAGGGATAGCACTGGTTCGTAAATTGTGAGAGAGAGCACATAGAAATAGCTTATCCAAAATTTTTTTAAACATCTGACAATAAATGTAGTGACAAAATTTAGACTGATTTTGCCTCTCAAATAGGGGATCTATGCTTGAGAATCTCCTTGAACCTGTGACTATATATCCTACAACCTGCAGAGAAGTAAATATTTGGTAAAGCTGTAAGTCACCCATCCATCTCTGTGCAGGTCAATTCTTGAAATCCTTTTCCACACTTTCCCTCAATACCAATGTGAAAAGGGCACCAGGTTACAGCCCTGAATCTCACAGTGTTCTTCCAATGGGGAGTTTGAGCTCTTCAAACCTTTAGTGGGTTAGTTGAGGTATGACTGGCTCTAAGAGAAGGATGCTAGTAAGGAAACCAGAGGAATCACATCACATTTCCACACAATACAAAGTTAGTGGACACTAAGTAAAAACCAAGTGTCTGTTCTGACCAGCCTGTTGGAAGAAAAAAAAGACCCCAATTAATTCCAAACCTTAAGCAGCATTCGTTATTCTCTATTTTTTCAAATGTATTACAACTCTGCGCTACTTATTAGAGGCTGAAATTCAGAGTTGAAGACTAAATCTTGGGTTTGGCAGTGAAAAAAGAATATCTTCTTGATTCCACGCCTGCAGTGATTCTTTCGTAGACCAAACTCTGAATAGTTGACTTCAGCAGGATTGATCAGATTGTGTCAACAACATAAATAAATATATCTAATTAGAACCTTTTTCTGCAAAAAACCCCAACATATTATGAATTTAACTGCTGGGATTTTTACATAAAATTATAAACTCTAACAACTGCAGTTATTTGTGTACTAAAATAGAATGTAATAATTAAATTATTTATTGTTAAATTCTTTAACAATAAATAGAAAGTTAATTGAAATTGGATGGAAATTATAATAAACCATCTGGTGATATATACACATATTCTTTCCTGTGCTCCAATTTTAAAGAATCTAGTAAGAAATCAGTTTCAACATAATTAAGTAGGTATGTAGGACAGAATCTTACCAATCTTTTCTCATAAAGACTTGTTGTCAGAGCTCTAGTCAGAGAAATTTTCTTCTGTGCTTCCTAAGTTCATGAGTTCTGAAGCCTTTTTGAATGTAGTGAGTTGTACTTTTTGCAAATGTCCAGTAGGGTATTTGCGTGTATCTTTTCAAATTATAACATATATTTTGCATAATTTGAATTTCAACATGAAGGCAGGCATAACCTAAGTGAGTTTCATTAAAGTTTAGATTAAATTGACATCAAATCCTCTGAGGATATATATAGTTTATCTGAAATATGTTTTTTCTTTTTGATGTTCCCCTTGCCATTAACTGAAAACGTGTTTAATTTTAAGCAAGTGTATACCTATACTTTTGCAGGCAGAATCATTTGTATCTTCAGTTAGTGAAAGAGAAAGATAATAGAGGAGACCACTTCTCTCCCTTTATTTATGATGGAATTTTTTTGAGTTCAGGTGTGACATCATAGATCATCCGCAACTGACATGTTAGTTCTCCCACAGTAATTGCAAATATTTAAAGCCTTCTTTGAATTATGATCCTGGAGGCATACAATACACCAAAGCAACACATTCATAATTATTCATTCTATTATAATAATGGATAGATGAAAAGGTCAAAAATGTTATGAATAGGCAGTCCCATGGCAAAAAGAGGTGGCACAACATTCTGTCTGAGGATGACCTGCAGGTCTACCAAGGTATGCAGCATGCTGCAGTGCTGCAGGACACATACCAGTACCCTGGAGAAAGAGCTTCAGACACGATTATCCATGCCTACACCTTCTGTAAAACCAGACAGGGACTGGTAAGGTTTCACACAAGGCTTGAACCTCACAGGTCCTGCTGAGCACCTCATTCTTCTCAGGACAGAGAAGCATGGAAAATACCGCTATGGTGTGTGGAGTACGGGGAAAAACGAAGAAATTTCCTTGAGCAAAAAATTATGCAGATACAACCATCAGCAAGAATATGACCAAGTACATTCCACCTCCTTTCTATTTTTCAAAGTTTATTACTGAGAAAAAATACTATTGAAAGGGAACATGTTAAAAGGCTAAATGTCATGGAACAAACTTTAAAAAGGAAAGAGAGGCAGAATATCAATCTTTAAAGATAAAAGAGTGAAACATGCATGTACTGGAACAGTTGCAACCTCATTGATGCATAACAAAGAAGAAAAACCACTTTTGATTTCCTTACACTGACGAAACCTGATAACTAACCACATGTTGAACTTCCACATATTGCAGTAGACTGTACAGAAACTACTGGAGAACATGAACAAGAACCTACAGTCTTTAGTTACTCTTCATACTCCCTGTCAGCAAACGACAGTTTCATTTTTTTAATAGGAACAAACGTAGGCGAAAGTACTGTTTGTGCACAAGGCTGCTGAATTGAGTGCATAGGGCAGAGAATGAATAGAAAATATCTTTTCAGGAAGAGAAAAAAGACAAGGAGTGAAAGTTTTTTATAAACATTTTGAGACAAGGTATAATTCTTACAGCATAATTCTTAGAATCCACTGAATGGAGTGCTTTGGGGTTTTTCTCAGAAGATCCCTAACCATTGCCAGGCATCACAATACTGCATAAAATAAGTATCACAACTCTAATTTTATAATTTTGTTCCACAAAGGCATGCCATCAGCACTGCATGGCTACAGGTGAAGTCACCTTCCTTCACAGGACAGCCAGTGACTCACAGGGACAATTAACCCGGGGGAATCAGGTGGTGCAGCATTGTCAAAAATGGTATTTACCATATGTATGGCAGAACAGAGAGCTAACTTATATAGGTTATAGATAGAATAGATAGAATGAGATCATAACTTTAGAGAATTTTTTTTCCTTATAAATCGAATGACAGGGAACTTGTGGGAAATTAACTAGAGTGAAGATTAGGTTTTTGATGTAGATGTTGAGCTTTATGTTTGATTTCTGTAATAATGCATTTATCTTTGACAAGCTATAGCAGACAAATACATAAACCAGAGATGTTCTTAGGTGGCCAAACAACTGGTCTTTAATAATTTCACTGTGTAGTAGTATTTTTATCTTGATACTTTCTCAGGAGCAAAGTATTGCTGATCTTTTCCCATAGAGTTCATTCTTTCAGAATACTAGGTGGAGAAGTCTTACCTTAAATGTTTTATCCTTCTTTGTTCAGTAAAGGCTAGTCTTTTTTGGCTGCAATCTACTCCATTAGAAAACTTTCACAGAAATCTGTTATCTTTTTTTTTAGGAGCCCACTTTCATTTATGCCAGATATTAATTTTTGTTTGGTTTAATCTTCTAATCAAAAAAGCACTGAATATTGTAACACATGAAGTAAAATATACACAGAAATATTGATAGCTGATACATCAACATTTAAACAAATATATGGGAATTTGAACTTACCAGAAGATTGTAACTGAGAAGCCACAAAGTTGCCCAGTATGAAGACCATTGAATGTGCTTGAAAGATGAGTCTCATGGTTGAAATGACACAACAGACTGTGAAGAGATGATTAATCATAATCTCTGGATTTACTATTTGATCAGTTTATGCCAGATGCTGGAGGGAAGTGGAGGAAATGACTACAGGAAATAAAAAAAGGCTTATCTATAGCTGCAAACAAATCAGAAGTGCAGGACCTTCTTTATATAATGTTAAAAAAATCCTCAGAATATGAGTATCTCTTTTTACAGCTGTGTCTTCTCATAGCTGTATCAGTTATAGGAAACCATGGCCCTGATGCCAACCAGGACAAGCTGTGCAGAGGTGTGATCACACAGAATCACAGAATCAATCACAGTCACAGAACAGGCAAGGTTGGAAGGGACCACAGTGGGTCATGTGGTCCAACGTCCCTGCTCAGGCAGGCTCATCCCAGAGCACCTGGCGCAGGATTGTGATCAGGTGGTTCTTGAATTTCTCCAGTGAGGGGCACTCTACACCCTCTCTGGACATCTGTTCCAGTGTGCAGTCACATGCACAGTAAAGTTCTTCCTCATATTCAGCTGGAATTTTCTGTGCATCAGTTTCTGCCCACTGTCTCCTGTCCTAAAGCTTGTCATGCTGAGAAGAACCTGGCTCCTTCTTCTTTGCATCATCACTTCAGATACTGACAGGCATTGATGAGGCTCCCTCTTACCATCTCTTCTCAATGCTGAACAGGCCCAGCTCCCTCTACCTTCCCTCTTAAGAGAGATGCTCCAGTCACCTTATCCTTTTTGTCACCCTCTGCTGGACCCTCTCCAGGAGCTTCACGTCTGGAGACCCCAGAACTGGACATTCCAGATGGGACCTCCCCAGGGCTGAGTAGAGGGGCAGGATCACCTCCCTCGACCTGCTGGCAATGCTCCTCCTTATGCATCCCTGGCCACCACTGGCCCTGGCACAAGGACACTGCTGGCTCAAGGACAGCTTGTTGTCCACCAGGACCCCCTGGTCCTTCTCCCCAGAGCTGCTCCCCAGCAGGTCAGCCCCAGCCTGTGCTGGTGCCCAGGGTTACTCCTCCCCAGGTGGAGGACCCTGCATTTGCCTTTGTTGAATTCCAGACAGTTCTTCTCTGACCCTCTCTTGAAGCTGTCGAGGTCCTTCTGAAGGGCTGCACAGCCCTCTGGTGTATCGGCCACTCCTGCCGGCTTTGCGTCATCAGCAAACTTGTCGAGGAGATGTTCTCTCTGCCCCTTCATCCAAGTCATTGATAAATTAGTTAAACAATATTTGGAACCTTGGGGAACACCACCAGTGACAGGCCTCCAACTCGACCCTGTACCGTATTACCCTCTGGGATCTGCCATTCAGACAGTTCTCAGTTAGATAATTTTTTCCTAGCTGGTCTTGAGCTTTAATGTACAGTAACCTTCTCACACAGAGGTTCTCTTGGGCAGATGATCAAGTCAGTCATGGTGCATGTGAAGTGCCCTGGGCACACACACCAGGCTGCCTGAGACCCCTGAACTACATTTTGCTGCAAATTTCTCAAGAGTAGAAGATTGTCTGCCATGCCTAGCTATGGATGGCTGGGAAAATAGCCAGAAGTTCTGCCATGAATTTTTTTAGGCTTATTTTCATTCCTCTTAGATCCTTACCTAAAATATTCACTGTCCTTTTTAACCCAACAGCACTGTTTGCCCAATGAGACCTTTTTCAGCTTAGTCACATCATCAAAGTCTGTGTGTCCCAAGAAGACCCATTCAAATCCCAGTAATTCTTAGAAACGCCAGCACGACTGTCTGACACACATACAGTGTCCTGTTAATTGTCTGGTCTCTGCTTTGATCAAGTTCCTCCAGGGAGCCGTTAATTCCTGGAACTAAAGTAACAAGCAACACAAAAGTCAAACACTAAACTAGGTTGTAGGTGATAGTTAATGGAAAGCTAATATCACTCATGGTTTCCACAGTCAGCATTGCAAAAGTCAGTGAGATAAACAAAGACAAAGGTCCAAAATCCTCTGGTTCCTCAGGACTTGGCAACTCCCACACATCCCCATTTGGGTTAAAAACACATTTTTCTTCCAAAAATGGGTCTTATCTATCCTTAGAGAACATGTGAGTATAATGGAGCCAAATTTGTCCCTCCCTGCTTTTCCCACAGGTAAAATGCACGGGGACTGCAAAGCTCCTAAGGTAGTTCATTGTTAGAAGGGAAGGGATAGAGGAAGACAACAAACAATGGAAATATATCTAAAATACCTTCTGGATTGTAATTATTTCGATTTTGAGACGCTATATCTAAAACAAGGTCTAATTCTCAAGCAACAGCAATATGTTTTCACTCACCTTTTTCTTATACCATGTCTGTTGGTACCACAAATAATTATCCCTCCCACCAGTCTTGTCTTCTTTTTCGTATACTGAGGTGAAACAAAAATGAATCAAAGAAAATCTCTCTTTTTACTACCTTGGAACCTAAACCTAGGTCCTGAGGAATAAAATGACATCTAGGTCAAAAATCTGCTTGTATTAAGCTGATGCAGCCTTGCACTATTTTTGCTACTGCTGAGAGAAGTATCAGATTTGGCACTAGAGGGATGCAGGGCTTTGGCACCTCCCACCTCCCCCACATGCAGACAGGGCATGGCCCAACCACCTGCCTTGGGCTCTGTTTACTGGAAGCCAGCTCTGATTACCTGATTTGATTTTTTCATGATCCTAGCCCATGAACTGAAAAGCTGTGAGTGATACCATAGGATCTGTTCTCCTGAGGACTTTGTCTGCCTGCCTGCAGGAGTGTGCTTGATTATCTTGCCCATGTCCTCTGGGTCGTTGCTCTCAAGAGGACAAGGGCAGAGCATTGTCACAATGTGGCCCCTCTACGCACAGTGCAGTGTGTGATGGAGATTGGATTGTTTGGCCTGAGAAAACAAGATTCATCCTACATGAAGTTGTAGGAATAGGGAAAACAAATGATGAAGGAGTGCTGAAAAGTAGCAGCCAGGGCCTCTGATGCTGACTGCTGGAAGAGAAAATTCTTAGCACGACACTGTGGTGGTTTGCACAGAGGTTGAGAGCAATGCAAGTAATACAAGCAAATTAAAAGAAGTCCTTTTGACTTCATTTCTCATTTTGGATCAAACCACACAAGCAGATCTTGGCCCTCTGCCAGCTCCTCTACCCACAGCAGCAGCTCTTGGGTGGCTGCACTTGCCAGCTGCAACTTCCAGCACCCTTGCTGACTTTGATCAGTTTCCTTCCTCTCTTTTTATTCCCCTTTCTATAATTTCATTGGTGGTGTTAAATGGGTCTTAGATCACCACATAGTTCAGCAGAGCAAATTGTCCCAGTTTAGTTTTTCCTTCACTTAGAGCCAAAACAATCAATAGTCTGTGAGTAATTTTCATTTATTATTACTTATTTATTCATGGCCTTGCTCACAGCCTCCACATAAAGCCCTGAAAAATAGCAAGATTATCTTTTTTTTACAGAAATGACCTCTTTTAATTTTTAGCATTAACAGGATGTGATTTCAGTGTGCTTTGAGTGAGTGGGATAAAGGGAACAGTGAATCATTTCTGTAAAATAGTGAGTCCCATCACTCCATGACAAATCAGTTTAGTCAGCTTAAGACAGCGCAGCCCATTTTGTGACAGGAGAACATGATTCCCTGTTTTAATGTGCATGTGTGGAGATCTCTGCTACATACTTTGGAGGCATCTTCTACCCACAGGAAAAGCCTGGGGTAACAATCTTCAAGTATTCCCAGAATTTTTTAAATTCACACTCTTATACAATCACTTCAGAAAGTGTCACTTGGTGGTCTCTCCTTGTATCATCATGGCTTTCCTAGTCTTTTTTATGAATGACAGGAAAGAAGTGAAGGGAAAAAACCAAATGAAGATGGCAGGTGGGCTATGTGGATGAGCAAGGACCTCCTGTCTAAAATCAGACATCAAATGGATTCCACACACATGAGGTGGAATCTGGTTGGTGTTTCAGGGACATGGTTAGAGAAGTCAAGGCCACCATGGAGCTGAACCTGCTAAGGGATGTGAAAGGCAACAAGAAAGCATCCACAAGTGTATGAACAGTAAAAGGAGGGATAAGGAAGACATAAATCTGCTGCCAAATGAATCCCATGGTGCGCAGGGCCTTTGTCCACACAATGGAAGTTCTCTTTGTTCATGGCTGGTACTGACATCCACTGCTCCCATATAAATTTCAAATCCTACCTAAAAGAATAAGCATGCTTGGTCATTAAAAAAAACTTTTATCAACGTAAATGTTCCATCAGCAACTAAAAAAGGAGTCTTTTAAAAACAGACTGTAATAGAATAGAAGATAATAGAATAGAATATTTTAGTTGGAAGGGACTTAACCTAGTTAGAATGACTGTCTAGTTTAACTACCTGACCACTTCAGGGCCCACCAGAAATTAAGCCTGGTGTTAAGGGCATTGTCCAAATGCCTCTTAAACACTGACAGGCTTGGGCATTGACCACCTTTTCGTATGAAAAGTCTGTTAAGTGTTTGACTTCCTTCTCAGTAAAGAAATATTTCTCAATGTCCACTCTGAACTTAAAAAAACCATAAAGAATCTGGTGGCTGAAGTTAAATGTCTTTTTAAAAATCAGAAACAAGCAAGGACCTCTACAAAACAATAATTGAATAGTTGAAGTCATATAGCACTGAAATATAATTGAAAAAAAAATAATGGGTAGTATACAATAATTTGTTTCTTGAATGGAATTGCCTGTTTCATTTAGAAAAAGTCTTTCATTGTGCCAGTTAATGGTGTATGTTCCATTTTTTACTACATTGCTGTGTTAAACTTTATCCGTGCTGTGCATATCCTTAAAAACGTTTGTAACAAGTAATACATTTTTGTTCTTCAAGTTGTGCTTTTGTTTTCTAGGGAAGAAAATAATGAAGTTATAAATTCAGGGATGTATCCTCAGTTTTGGGATTTGCATCAAATGGAAACCTGACAGCCATTTGCACTTCTATTCTCTTTCTCTTTTCCCATCTATTTATGTCAGTGTCACATGTTGGGTCATTCAATTAAAAGTCAAAATCACCAAAGTAAATTTTACCATATGGTTTATAAAACAATCTGTAGAAGACATAGTAGTTGTGTATAAGTAAATTTATGAAGACCTTTTGATTGCATAATCTTTATGACCATGTAAGGTTAGGAGTCTCATGATTTAATATACCTTAAATACATCATTAATAAATAAGAATATGTAATTACATAATTGCAGTATTACAGTTCTGTAATGCTAGGAAAGATTAGAGGCTAAATATAATTTCTGTCCATTTCAGTTACTCTCCTTCGAAGAAGTCTGCTGTTTCCATCTGCCATGATGAAGTATTTTGACCTATTTTTGAGATTTCCAATGCTCTGGCACATTCCTTTTCAAAACGCCCAACACATCTGTCCTTGGTCTTTCCTGGTAGAAGGTTAGGCTCCTGCCATCCTGGAACAATTACATTGCAGGTGAGAGGATTTATTCCTGTTCCCTAAAATGGTAAAGAAGCTGAGAAGGATGCAATGGGAACTGATAGTGAACATACATATGAGAAAAAGGTATGACATTAAAGAATATATAAGCTATAATAGGTAGGAAACTATGGTGGATGACATAGAAGGCAAAACCTAAATATTCATTTTCTAATACAATTCTGGAAGAAAACATATTTTACTAAAGTACATCTTTCTACCTAGGTACCTCTCCCACATTAAATAAAAAAGTAAAACAGGAGACAAGAAGAAACTTCAAACTGGTCACTGGTGTTTCCATTGCTAAAAAGAAAGAATAAGTAATGGACCTGGTATAAAATCAGTAATCTTTCCTTCTCCAACCATAAAGCTGTTTCATCCTGTGTATGTCATTTCTCCAAGAGTCCTCACTTGCTGAGTGCAGCGGGCAGGAAACCACATCAGGAATATGTCTGAGCATTATTTAATATTTCTGAGTTTGAACTCTTTTGGAATATATCCAGCAAAACATGCAAGGTAAAGTGGTGAAACACATCTTAGAAATCACAGCACGAATGGAGAAGATCTGGTGGGTTAATAACCATCTCAAAATTGGATCATAGCCTCTCCCATAAGTCACCAACTGGGGCTGCACTATGGAAATCCTGACCTGACTTCCGAATCATGAGAGAAATAGCATTGTTTCTGAAAATCATTTTTTATGTCCCACACTGACCTATCTATTGCAGAAATTCATGACTATCACTGTCACCTTTTCAGCTCCTGGAGTCCATAGTGGCATTCTGTTCTCACGTAGCAAGCTCATGTGAAACTTGACTCCAGTGAAAGCTAAGATGTTAGAAAGGGTATGGGAGGAAAATAATAAGATTTGGTCTTGATTTGTTTCTGTGTTTGTAGAGAATAGATACTGTCCCCAAGGGTGACATGTGAGGGATAAGACTGCAAGGAAAGCAGCTGACAGCCAAAAGGGTTTTGCCTGCAACCTGTGCACCATCTCTAGGGCACAAAGAAGGTGGGGACCAAGCAGGCACTGATTGCATTCTTATGTTCTCTGAAGATGTTGAAGGCTCCTGCACATACTGCTGAGTCCCAAATGGTCAGGAAACTCCATGAAATGCACCCTGGGATTTCCAGCTGGCTTCCCTCCCCCTCCTCGCCTGACTGCTGCAGACAGTGATGGGGAGGAGATAAGGATTCGGTTTAAGAGCTCTTCCAGAGAAGCATCTGCACATGCAGTTATATAGGAGATACCGAAAGTAAGATAAGGACATTAAGAATTATTTTTTCCATACTACTTTTAGTTTCTTATGAATGCAGTTACTTTCACGTATTATGACTAAATGCAGCTGTTGGATTTTTCTGCTGTTGAGTGCTGAATTTAACGTTGTGAGTCAGATTATTGAAGTAGATCTATTCCGTTGTTTAGAACTTTTTGAGATATTCATTGGAAAAGGACAAGTGTCAGGCTTTTCCTGCAGCTTCTTGTGTGACTACAGTCATGCAAGCTACAGCACCAGCAAAGCAGTGCTCATAGCCTTTCAGCAAGATGTTAATTTCAACATGCACTGACATAGCCTTGAAAAACCAAACACTACCAGATTTTACCCATTGCTGATATGTTTGTATTTCAGAAGCTTGACAGGTAGAAGGTGTGTTGAAACAGGCTAAATGCTGTCTGTGCTCAGCAGCAAAAACTTGTGGCATCTGGAAGAAAACATTTTAATTGTTTTTAAAAGAGCATAACAGTGTGAAATAAAGCTAGAGTAGTCAATAATCTCAGGATGTACGGAGATGACTGCAGATTCTTAACTGTGGAAAGCATTTTAATCCTTGTCTCAGGTATTTGTTTTGAAAGATACAGGTACCACAGTCATTTCATTCCTTAGACATTTATTGCATTTTTTAGGTAAGAAAAAACTGCCCAAAAATTACAGCATACTGAAAATTCCATTCTTTTGAAACTACTGAGCAAGGAAATTTGGAAACAGAGGACTTTAATTTTTGAACTGGACCTGATCTCTATTGGTATTTTCTTATTGAGAATTTTTATTT